CCTCCAGCTGGTACACAACACTGGGCCGCTGTGGGCAATTCCTACCGTAAATTTGGTGGTCTCTGGAAGGGGGCAGGAGACTGTGTAATATTTATTCCCTGCATACATCTGCATGGCCACGATTCTGACTTGATATGTCTGTTGATGAGAGTGGAGTGTGAGAAGGAGGGAGGCGGGGGAAGTGTGAGAGAGGGAGGGATGGGGTAGGTGGGTGGGTGGGAGGGTAAATGGAAATGTGAGGGACGGTGAAGGGAGGGAAGGAGGGTGGGGGTGGATGAATAGAAAAAACAAAATTTTCAAATATTAAAACAAAACAGACAGAACGTTTAAGTGTAAATAAAGATGAACAAACGTTGCCAGATGTAAACAGACAAAACAAAAACGTTCTAGTAGTAATTAAAACCAGAATCAAGTGATATGTGTTGGTAACAATGAAGAGTAGAAGGAGGACTAATGTGACCATGGCAACACGGGGAGAATCAGCTGATTGCCTTACATGTAAACATACATACATACAATCAAAGGGCTGACAGAGACCCCTGGGTCGTAGTGGAAGTTTGACCCTGACCTGTGGCACTGACCTTTGACCTAGTTTCTCCCAAATTATACCATCTCTTCAGTGACCGACATTCAATCCTTCTGCCAAGTTTTATCAGAATTGATCGTCATTTTTATGAGATATGGCGGTTATTTATACACACACACACACACAAAGCGACACGATAGCCTCAGACACATTCCAGACCGAAGTTTATTTAGAGCAACAGTCGGGCAGCAGCAAGCATGGAAAATTATATATATATATATATATATATATATATATATATGGGTTATACTGAATTGCACTATACCCCAGTAAATGCAATATGCAAACTACACATCTGGTGCACTATACTGCAGCATATTTATACACCAGTAGCAGCAGTATACGACATACACAAGGCCCGGGCGGCTATACTGCAAAATATATCAGGGAATGTTTATACAGCAACACAGACACCATTGAGGTAAACTCGTTGTATTGAAAGCCAGCAGTGAGTAACGACGCTGCTGGCTGAATACATTTATTTTTTTTTACTTTCTTTAGAGAATATTTACATTGCATAGTTTTTATCTCGGATTTTTTTTCGTGTGCATCTTAGAGAAAAAATCTGGACAAGGGAATCCTATGAATTTTTAATCCATTTTTTTTCTCTCGACTTGTTTGAGTAAATTGTTTTTTTGTTTTTTTTGTTTTTACGTCGGGAAGCTGAAACTCCCATTTGTATTCCTGATGGTACGACTTGATGCGTTGATGAAATATTTTGCTTTGTATTTTTAGTTTGACTTTTATTTTCTCCTTATCCTCACGAATGAGAGCGTAGCCATGGCTGTCTGTCTGTCTGTGTCTATGGGGGTGTTAAGGTAGAGTTCCAGTACTAATTAATCTCGCTCTTGAAATACTCTCTTTCTTTCTCTCTCTCTCTCTCTCTCTCTCTCTCTCTCTCTCTCTCTCAATCAGACAGACACAGAGGAATAGTCACTCCAGGGCCACTAAATAACACCACCCCTCGGTGCTGAATCTGATAAATCGAAGACTACAACGGGCCTTCCTGGAGCCTGCCACGGCAGTCATACAACCCTGCCAGTCACCCAGGCAGCGCCCCCTCCCCACTCCGCCACACTCTCTCCAATCAGTATTTTTACACACACACACACACACACACACACACACACACACACACACACACACCTCAAGACACATATCAATAAGGACAGAAAGAGGGGTGGGAGGGGGGCACAATGATATTCCTTTATAACAATTGCTTTGTGCCTAATAGCGGAGGCCGGGCCGTAAAGAATAGTTCCCCCTCTCTATCCCCTGCGTGTCGTAAAGCGGGGCTGTGAGTGCGTATAGGCGAGGCGTTGAGTGCGTGTTGAGGTCATGGCAGTAACCGCTGCTAAATGAACCCCCGATGAAGGTAAAGGTGTACATAGGAGTGTCTGTGGTGTGTGTGTGTGTACCTCCCCTCCGTCCCTCCCTCTTTCTCTCACTTCCCTCCCTTTTTCATTCTCTCACCTGCCTCCCTCCCTCCCTCCCCCCCCCTCTACGATGAGTATTTATGAGGGGGTGACGATACTCATGCTAAGTAATTTTTACGGGTCTTGATCCTCCTCTTGTCCTACATTGAGTATTTATGAGAACTTATGAGTATTTGTGAGAACTAAAAAAAAATATTAGTTTTGGGGAGATATTTTCCATTTTGTAATTTTTTAATGCAATCTGTAGTGTTGGTTAGGTTAGGTTAGGTTATTGAAGCAGCTAGGTGACGTAACAGAGAGTTTGATATGGACGGTGGGATTGTGTGTGATATGAAGACGTCATGTAGAATCATTCTTTTAGGGCGGCTCAGATCATGACAGGCGCAGTCCTTGACAGGCATAAAGACATGACAGACAGACGCATGCACTAGCCTATCTGGCATAAATTCATGACAGACCTGCGTACCATATCAGGCAT